GCATCCAGGTCGAAAGGGTGCATAAGCTCCTTCATAGACACTCTAGCCCGAGAGGGCAGGAGTTTCTGAAAGGAGTCTTTTGACATCCGATCATTAACGTCCAGACCTTTCACCCGTAACCTTTCCAACCAAACCTCGGATTTGTGTTGTTGCAATTGATCCCATTCAGACAACAATCGGGCACGCTCTTTACCCCAGACCAACTCTCAAACAGGGTGCTCACGCATCCTTCCTTCCGCATACTCTATCCGTTTCTGCAAACGCCACTCCCTTCGGTTTCTGTTTGCTGCCAGTATTCTAGAAAAGATATTCAGGAGGTTGGAAAAGATACCAGTACCTACATCCCACCACTGGTCCAATGAGGTATATGACAACCGAGTATCCTTCCAACTGTTCCAGAATTTCTTCATCCAGTCCACTAGTCCAACATCATTGAGATTCTCAGTGTTAAATCTGAATAACCCTTTTTCCACGATTAGTATTGGTAAGAAAAAAGGAAATCAGGACCGGTTTATGGTCCGACCCCGGCTGAGAGACTTCCTTAACTTCCTCAACCATATTCCATAGGTTATCCGAGATGAGGTGAAAATCCAATCTTCGCTCTGTAAAGCCAGACAAGGCTCTGCAGTTGGAGTACCAGATAAAACCATCCTTCTCTAGGTGAGCTAACCTAAACGGGTCAATCAGATCCCACTCCTCTGTGATTGCCAACAAGGCAAGTTTGTCTCTCGGACACTCCCCCGATTGGAAATTCGATAGATCAAGTGAGGTATTCCAATCCCCTGTCAAAACCAACATGTCACCCTCCGGGATTACCCATAACAGATCGTTAAAAAAGGTTGCACGTTCTCTCCTATCTGTCGGTGCATACACTGTAACAATCACCCACTCTTTGTCTGCTATAAACAACTTGGTCCAAGCCCAGCGGCCCCATATATCAAAATAATAATCAATAATTTCACACTCCAAATGTCTGTTGACCAAGATTGCAACTCCTCCTCGTGTGCCTTGTGCGGGGGCCCAAATCTGAGGACCATCCCACCAGCGACCCAGATTCATAATTTTCTCCTCATTTAATTTGGTCTCTTGAATGCACATAATATAAATGTTTTTTTCAAACATCCATGATTTTAATCTTTCCTTCTTGTGCTTACTAGTGGTGTCCCCTAAACCGCGCATATTCCAAGTGGCAATCCGTAGTCTAGACATTTGCAGTGGGCATTCCTCCCGAGGATTGGACATGAGGGTTCACAGGAGCCCCTCCTGCAGAGGAAGTCAAGAGGGGTAGCCATGACTTTGTCAAGGCTGTCCGCAAAAATGGAGATGCCAGTTTTTTGTCTCTTGGCAATTTACTATCGATTTCAATCATGAACTCCGCAGAGCTGAGCGGAGGGACACTAACCTGGCGTAGATCTTGCCGACGGCCTTCACAAAACCAAGACACAGGAAGTAAACGCATACCTTCAGTTTCCAAAATTTCCAACTGACCCTAAGCAAAGCGCACGTCCAGAATAGGGACGAAGAACTTAATCTTCTTCCCATTTCCTTCAGGAGCGTCTATAATTATATGAGGCATTAATTCCTCGGCCACAAACCGGAACAGGAATCTATCCCAGGTAGTTGTTCGAATTAAAGAAAGAATAGAGCAAGGCATCGAACATTCCGGAGAAGCCAAGGATTCGATCATTGGACGACCATCCGGCCCTAACCAAGCAATTACCCAGAACTCTTTTCTAGCAACGCGACAGAGCAAAGGCAAAATTTGACGTTCGATATTCTGAATTTGGCCTTTCACCAAAGAGGCTGCTGCTCTTCGTCTCGTGGTTTTAGAACCGGGGGTACCCACCTCTTTGACGTGTCCTAATGAGTCTTCCGAGCATTGAAGGGAAGATTCCGATCTCTCACCTTGAAGCTCCTGACCCCCAATGATTGAGTCAAAGCTCAGTCGCCTTTGTTTACTGGCAGGTTTCTTTGCAGACGAAGTTTCCTTCAACGGAGAGGCAGCCACTTGGTTAGCACCGTTATTGCTTTGTGCTTGCTCTTGGTGCGGCGGTTGTACTGTTGAGTCCCTCCCATGCATCGGGTTTGGACGCGTTGGTCGCTGAAGTTGATACAAGGCTGCGGAGTTCCACGGCACATTTGGAACCATTCCTCCTGCCCCCAGTGGGACAACCGGTACCCCTCCTTGTCCACCTCCGTACTGCGGAGCTGAAAGATTCCATGGACCGCAAGGAGGAAGACCCCACAGCACCATGTTTTGAAAGCCTAGCTGCTGCCGAAACTGGATTGTACCAGGCTGCTGCTGTTGAGTTCCAGTGCCGCCGAGTGGTCTTGGAGAAAAAGTCGGGTTCAGAGTGGTCTGATAGGGTTGGAAACCTATCGGGGTCGGCTGAACCTCCTATCTTGGATCCCCTGGTGGCGTCGATTGTGAAGCCCCCGGAGGTGGCATCTGTCCTTGATACGGGGGTCTTGACGAGGCAGCTTGGCCCACTACTGTTGAATCGAACGTTAATTTCTTCGACAAGTGTCCTCTGTATGAAAGAAAGCACGACACCTTCCACACCTTGGGGTGTCCGATGAAGCCAATTTAACTTCCAATTGATCGCCTTCAAAAGTTTCCAACCATATCACGTCCTTCATGTTCGCACGTGCCGCCGGGTCATCGTCAAACTTGATGTTGACCAAGGATGTATCTGGCTCCGTTGGGTGCCGCCTAACGATTGGGCCAATCACCTTCTGGATTTGAGTGTCTACGAACAGCATCGCGTCCAATGGAACTTGGACAGCAATCACCCAGAAGGTACGTTGATCTTCCTCTCGTCTTTGCTCCTTGAGTTGCGCCTTGGTCAGCCAAGGTTTAAACTCCAATTTGTACGTCGTCGATCCGAGTATTAGCTCATCCCGTTCCTTGAGGATCAGCCAACTTGCAATAATATCACTCTTGGCGACGTAGGAGACGACATTCAAACTTTCTATCTTAACTCTTCCTCTCCTGAATCCATCTCTCTCGAAACTGCCATCCTGAACTTTGCTATCCTCATAGGCTCTAACGATGTCGTCCTTGCCTTTCTTCGATAGAAACCGCGCTCCTTCTCTGAAAATAATTGTGACCGTGTGTTGTTTCAGCCACTCAACCTTAGCTTGATCTATAACCACGCTTACCTTGAACCTTGCTTCCCTACCCTGGACAGTCATTTCCCCAGGGTCAATATCCTGGGGGATGACACCTTCTTCATAGCACATCCAAATCAACTCTCTCACGCGCTGTTCCTAATCTCGATTGCCCCCTGGATCCGGGGGCAGTGATCTTGCTTCCCTTTCCATTACTACCTCTGTAGCCATCCTGCCTTCAGTTCAGCTGAGACCTAACCCTACACTTACACGATTCTCGTTATTTAACCCAATACCTTCTATTCCACGAAGGAGCACAAAACTCGATACCCACGACTCCCAAACCAGGACCACAAGGGGGGAAAACTCCTGGGTATTCACTGTGGTTATGCACAACTTCCTCCCAACATCCCGAAGTTGGCGGCCCGATCAAGGCGAGGCAACTTCCATAGCCGCCATCTACCGTGGTGCTATCATGGCGGTAGCACCCTCGGTTGAACACAGCTCCGTTACCGGTCCGCTAGCGCTTGGTCCGAAACGCCGTAGCGACGACGGAAGCGCTCCGGTAGTCGCCCCACCGGCCGTGGTCTTGCTGGATCGCAAAATTCGATCTCCTCTTCACCACCACCAATTTCAGATTTTGGGGCCGGGCGGGGCGGGGTGCCCTAGAAAAAAAAAAAAGAAAATGGCGGTCTCCGAAGTGTTACCCGTGTTAGACTGACACCAGCGGCCGATGTATGGTGTACTGGTTGACACCAGCGGCCAATGTATAGTGGTTTACCAACGAGGCCTGAGCATTATTTTCCTCCCTTTTAGCCTTAGAAAACAACAAAGAGGACTACCAATAAGGTTCCAAGATAACAACATAGCAAAGACCGGGACGTGACACAGCCAGCGCCATACACTCGTACAGTCTTCCGTTCCTCGTCCTCCCACCCCTTCCCACAATGGTAGACACGTCACCATCAAGTGGTTAGCCTCCTGAGGAGGACCCGCGTTGTGAGTAATTGGAACACATGATTTTGAAATGCTATCATTCTTTTTCGTGTTTAAAAGCCTGTTGTCGGCCATTGGTTTCTTCTTCCTTACACGTCACTACACACCACCATACGTCCACCATACACATACACGTGTTGCCAAACACGTGATTTAGAAATGCTATCATTCTTGTGCGTGCTCAAAAGCTGGTTGTCGGCCATTGCTTTCTTCTTTCATACATCCACCATACACATACACGTATTGCCAAATTCTTCGTCACCACACAAGTGTCACCGTGTTATTCAATCACCAAGTCACTACATATCACCCCACATGTCGCACACACATACGACACACACGTGATCAGACACATCACCACACCACACACTTCATCAGGGGATTTCATCGATGTAATTTTTTTGTGAAGATTGACAACTTTTAGGACACGATAAAAAGTAAGAGCAGTAGCCATGAGTGCTACTGATGTGGTCTTCCGAGAGGGGTGGAAGTAATTGATACAGGAGCACCTTTGAGCGTACGTGTAGGTGAAACTACACTTCATGACACTTTGGGCCTCGGTCCACTACTGTCCACATGCACAAAAGACCAAAAATATGGCGGTCTATCTTTAGCCGAAGATTCATTCTCATTTTGCACATTTGGAGAGTGGTGGAGCGAGGACCTTTATCGCACACATCACCACACCACACACGTGATCACATGTGCTCCCTTCACACAGCACGCAGACAGGTCATTGCATGCACCCGGCCACGTGTCCCCCTGTAATCAGGCAGCAATCATAGCCTTTGATAACAACGTCAGAAAGCGGAGGCGGATCATCGGGATGAGGCGTTGGATGGGCATCAATGGCGCGCTCTGCATGAATCAGTGCGATCAACACCAAAATTGTATCGTCACTCTTTTTTCCCCTTTTTTTGGGTTTTGGGGGCACGTTTTGCAGGAAAACGAAGGCCAAAGAAAGACAGAGACCATCGGTTGGCTACGATCCCGACTCGTCAGCTCCTCGCAACCGCGCAACCGCACCAGTGCTTCTTCTGCCAGCGAGCCTTCACTGAAGAAGAATCCCAGCCAAAACCCGCACACACTTGGGACATCATTGATGGAATGAATCTGACCACAAAATAGTTCATTCGGCAGAGAACCTTGCCTTCCCTTCCCTTCCCTCCCCTCCCCACCCCGATCACAGAGTGGTGTGTCGGGATCCACACGCTCCGTACGTGTGCGTGCAGAGAAGCCAGGCTCCAATCTTGTGCATGCAGAAGTCTTCATTCCATTACGCCCCAAGCGTTCTATTCAGTGGACCCCTGCGGCGCTATTCAGGTTTCAAAGACTCTCTTTTGTTGAACGGAGAGGATAAAAAAAAAAAGGGAGAAAAGGGTGGACAACAAAAGAGGGAGAAGAGGCTGCACGTGTCTTTGCCCACAACCAGCATTCAACCCTTCATGTGTCATTGAGGCCAAAGAATCTCTTCTGTTGGATGGAAGAGGTTTCAAAAAAAAAAAAACGGAAAAAAAAATAGTCGTTGTTTGGACCTCACCGTCCTTTCATCTTGCACACTATAAATGTGTTCGCATGGACCTTATCACCCAGCCATCTACATCATCCATACCACCCGCATTATTCCTGCTGCCCTATTTTCGCCCGGAAGGGTGCTTCAATACCCCGTTTTCCCCCCTATAACCCCCCTTCCGCACACTTTCTCATAATGTTGCTCCTTCGTCCTTCACTTGTTTGGTTTCGAGTCCCCTGTTTCTCCCAGTAGGGGTGCAAGGTAGAGGAAGAGGAGGGATAGTGACAAGCAATGTGGCCAAATTGCTCCTGAATACACAAAGCATTCTTTGCGTGTTCAACAGCACTTTTGCCATTGCTTGCCACTAATCTCCCTCTCCCTCTCCCTCCCCTCCCCTTGTTTGGTTTCCATTCTCCTTCTCCCCGTGGGGTGCAAGTCAAGTGTGCGTCTTATAAAGAAAAAGAAGAAGAAGAAGAAGAAGAAGAAGAAGAGGCAGAGACGGGTGAGTGGGTGTGTACGAGCATCTAAGAAGAAAAAAGGAGCAGACAGCTGGGTAGGTAGGTGTGCGTGCGCATGCAAGAAAAAGAAGAACAAGAAGAAAAAGAAGAAGAAGAAGAAGGAAAAGAACCAGACTGGTGGGGTGTGTCAGAAAGAAAAAAAGAAAGCGTAAGAACATGCAAAGAGTAGATAAAGTTAGACAAAAAAACAAACAAAAAAAGAAAGAATGAAATCAAAAAAATAAACTTTAATAAAGTTACACTTCCTCTGTCTCTCTTCCTCTTCCCTTTCATTCCCCCTAATACACATCAAATATATGCAGTGTATTGCCCCTCGTTTGTTGTCGTCTTCTTCCTCTCTGCCTGCCGTTTACCGGGCAGTTACGTTTGACGATATATATACATGTATACATATATCGTCAAATAGAACTGCCCGGTAAACCGTAGGCAGAGAGGGAGAAGAGGACAACAAACGAGGGGCTGTGACAAACTGTTTATACTCCGCGGCCATGCTGTGCCTCCAGGGCCAGCGGCGTGTCTGGAGTGTGTTTTCTGGCTGTGACAGACCTTTGTTTCGTGGGTGTTTTGCTGGCTTGTGATGCGGTCCGAACCTGCTGTCTGTACAGTTTTCCATCTGGTGTGGGTGAGCGATAGTCTGCTTTGATTTTCGTCACAGGTACCTTGTTGAGGGCAGTGGTTGGTGGTCCCGACCACCTCAAGGTATCAGTTTTTGCGCAGTCATTGATGCTTAACCACAACCGGGTTTCAGTTGGGTTATCACTTACGTACTTGGGAAAAGAGTTATGAGATCGTCTAGGTCTCACGGAGGCTAGAAGAAAGAGCTCCCAAACCCACCGGAAAACTAACTTAGACACCAATCAATCAATCAATCAATCAATAGCTGAAGCGGATGCTCAAACTCGGTCTTCAACTACTGTTCCGCTCCTCCGTTCCCGCCCACCTGCTCTCTTCATCCTTCTTCCCATCTCCCGATTTTACGACGAAAACGAATAAGAATAAAGGGATTTTTTTCGAAAGAGGGGCATACCGCAAATAAATGGAAGTCGGAGGGGCATTTCGAAAATTTTCACAAGAATAAAAAAGAACCAAGAAAAAAAGAGAAAGAAAGAACGGATTAAAAAACAGGCCGTTGCCGAATCCTGCTATGTAACCCCAGATTTTCATTGACTAAGTTTGGAACGAATTCATAAATAGTTTAAACAAAAAAGATTGCCAAGCATTCATTGGGCACTAACATCCATTCATGGTGGGTGACAAAATGAGACCAAGTTATGACATCCATTCATGGTGGGTTACAAAATGAGACCAAGTTATGACACATCGACCAATCAGCAGAACCAATTCGTCGGCAGGGCGAGGGGGGAGATATAGCACCCTTTCGTTCTTTTTCCCTTTTTTATACGTGCCTCATCATACACCGTCAAGCGTGGAGGGACGTGGTGAAGCGTCGCCCTTCCCTGCTCCCCCTCCACCTCCCCCCCTTCCTTCCCAAGGTCGACCATTCTCTCCCCGAACACCAACGCCCCCCCACCTCCTCGCAGAATATCATCGACATTCAGCCCCATCCCAGTTCGGTTTCCACAGTCGTTCTTCCTCC